GAGCTCTGCTCTAACATTTCTGGAAGATTAATTAAAGTCAGTGCAGAAAATGGAAAACTACTATTCCCATTTTAAATTAAAGAGAGATGTTCAAAACACAAGTGAAAGGACCAAAAGCTTCAGTTCAGAAAACAGGAAACACTCATGCTTTTATTTGTTTTGGGCTGTTGTTTTGTTCTGTCTTGTTTTATTTGGTATACAATGAGATATAGGGTAGGTATCAGACCAAGAGAGATTTTTCAGGGACTCTGAGATTATTTTACCTTGACCCTGTAAAGAAGTGATGAAATTTGGTTTGCCAGCAACCAAAACCCAGTAATAACTGGTAGTCTTTTTAATTTAAATTCATACATTCATTCATTCAATAATTCTTTACTGCTCGTCCACTAGGAAAAAGAAATATAAAAAGTACTAAGACACCCTTAAGATAAGATAGGAAGTGGTAAGTTCCATGAGAAGGGAGTGGTTATTTCAGGGAGGGGATTATCACTTTTAGAGGAAGGCTTTCTAGTAGAAGGGAAACAAAATACCCTCGAAGAATGGATAAAACAAGCCATGTGAAAAATCATGGGAAGGTCTTTCTGAGGAACGAGTGCAAAGAAACAAAGGTGAGAACAGTGAAGCATCAAAGAACAGTGAAAATTTAGATTTCCGGAAGCAGAGGGAATTTAGAAGGAGTAGTCCTAAATTAGATTGGAGTAGCAGCTGAGGACCAGCCCTGCAGAAGGCTGTTTACCCAGACTAAGCACACAGGTATGTGGGAAGTGTGTTCATCCCTCAGGATCAGTTAAGGAGAGCCAGACGGAGCAGCCACAGGGCCGGGACAGGCTGTGGGAGGCCCACTTCTGGGCTAAGTACTGACTCATCAGTTGATGGACTGTAGGGTGGAGTGGGGTCCCAGGAAAGTGTAGAACAGAAAGTGTGCAGAGCAGAGGCACGTGGGGGGCTGGAGAGAAACAACTGTTAACCAAGGAGCACAGAGCATTTTAGAATTTTGCCAACCAATACAGTCATCCATGTAACAAGCTGAATTTTAGCAGGGAAGTTTTACAAAGTGGGATATCTAAGCTTTTGCTTTTCAGATCTGTAATCTGGACCTCAACTTGGGCAGACAGCTCTACCTCAGTATATCTAAAAGTAAACCTATCACAGTCTTTCTTATATATGTAACAGCCGATGACTCCTCCAGGAAATGATACCATAAGCCACTCAGGTGTTCATGTCAGAAATCTGGGAATCATTACCAGCATATGAACCCCCTTCCCAGTTCTGGGGAACCCCATTATGCAAATTTTGACAAGCCAGTCTTCTCTCTCTTTACACTCTACGCTTCTATGTTGGACTTACAGCAGTATTTGTTTTTCCTATTTTTTTCTCACTATTGCCCATCCTTTGTCTCTTTTTACTTTCTGGAAAATTTCTGCAACTTCATCTCCCAACCCTGCTCTTGAATTATCTGTTTCTTAAATGATTAATTTCCAAGCAATAGCATCGCACTCTTCATTCATGTATGCAATGTATTTCTCTAACCTCTCGGGGGTGTAACTACATTTTCTTTGAAGTTTTCTCCTGCTCCTTGCATTTCTATTCCTTTGAGTTCCCTTTTGTGTTTCTTCACTCTGGTTCCTGCCTTTCATGCTATGTGCTTTCAACAAAAGCCTAGTGATCCTCACTTATCCATTCATATTTAATAACGAGGCAGTAAACCTCTCACTTGAAGCTAGCACATGGCATAAATTGGTAGATTCTATTATAGAGTACATGGGCAAAAAGCCAAGATATATTTCTTCCTCCCTCTCTCCCTCCCTTCCTCCTTCCTTCCTTCCTTTCTCCCTCCCTCCTCCCTCCCTCCCTTTCTTTCTTTTTTTAATATAGCATACTAGTTAGCTCACAGGGAAAACTGTTACAACAAAGAGGCTCCAAAATAGTAGCTCACCAAGCTCAGTCCATTGCTCTTCCTTTGAGCATTCTGTGAGCTGAGAGCAAGACCAGCAGCCAGTGTTCCTCCCGTTCTTTCCATCTAGTTTCCCCACAAACCCCCAGGGCAAGATGGTGACAAATATGTGGCACACATCCACAGCAGGTGTTTGTTATCACTGATAGCTCTAAAAGGATCGCCATCATTGTCTTAGAGTGTAGTCCTGGCCCGCCTGGGTGAGGCTGTCTCATCACATCACATCCACATCTGGCCTTCGAGGGAGCAAGGACACGCACACTTCTTTTAATGGGCAGGTGGGTATGGTGGCAACATGTCAGTAATCACAGCACTCTGGAAGGCTGAGGCAGGAGGACTGAAAAAAATCAAGCCCTGCCTGGGCAACTTAGTGCCTCAGCAAGAGCCTGTCTCAAAATAAAAAAAAAAAAAAATAAAGTAAGGGCTGGGGATGCAGCTCAGTGCAAAGGCCCCAGCTGGCTCAATCCCCAGTGAGGGAGCCAGGTACAAGCTGCCTATAGCACTGGAAAGAATGTGATGCTGCTCTCAGCTCACTACAGGAGCTTGGGAAAGGGAGTCCCTACTGAGGCAGCTGTGCTCTTTACCAAAACCTGAGGGAGTTCTTTTAGTAAAAGATAGAGGGAGACAGAAAGTGGGCCACTGGGGCCTTCTCCTAATTTGAGACTCACAAATGTCAGTATCCAGTCCAGGGCCTTCTCCGGAGTGGTTCGAGGTCTCTAGTGATGGGTTCCCCAGTCTCTCACCTGGGGCGCCTGGCTGTCAGTATTCACCATGGCCTGCACAAACTTTCACTGACTCCATCCCTGTCCCTGGGGTTCCTCCCTCCTGCTCCCCCAGTGCCTGGAATCTCACAGGCTGGCAGCCTCTGGCTTCATTTCTCCAGAAAATAAATGTCAGATTTGACCCGGACTGAGGCCTGGCTACCTGGCTGTGTGGGGTGGGGGTGGGGCAGCTGGGTCCCACTGCTCCCAAGTCCCTGTCCTGGGCCTCCCACCCAGCCGGGCCTGCTGTCCCCACGTTTTTACTTCCGACCTTGCAGCGGTTCTTTGGGTATTCATCCTGCGGCAAGTTAGAGTCCCTGTCCTTGCACACTGTTCCCCCACCACTTTTCAGTCTTCAGATTCCAGCCGGGCTTACACGTGTCTTCCGGAGTTGTTAAGAATGAAGCCTGGGGCTGGGGATTTAGCTCAGCGGCAAAAGCGCCTGCCTGGCAAGCGCAAGGTCATGAGTTCAGTCCCCGGTACTGGAGAAAAACCAAAAAAAAAAAAAAGAATGAAGCCTGCATTTTTGCCCCTTCTCCTCTTTATCACTTAGGGAATTTGAAAAGGAGGAAGAAGTAAAAATAGCTTTACTCCATTATCTTGAAAACTGAAAATATTTTTTTTCCTCTGTCTGTGATGCTATCACTGGAAATTTTATCTCAAGCCACAAATATCCATTTGCTTAAAATAAGGAGAGTTTTATTTTTCCGTTCATCCTGTGGGTGTATACTCATGATCTCCATGATGTGACCACTAATTGTATTTCTCTTTAAAGTGATCTTTAAAAGGTTCCCTGGCAATGATATCCAAGACTTGCAATGGTAAAGTCACCCCCGCCCCAAATACTGACTCTTTTCTCTACACTGAATGTCTCTGCTTCCCTTTCAAATGACCTTCATAATCATTCAAGCCAACAGTGACAGAGGTAGATTCATGTCACTGTGTCTCACTTTATGGATCAAAATAAAGTAAATGTGAGAATCCTTTCTAAACATGTAGGGTTTTTAAATGAAGACCTGAATGTATGATAACTCTCTATACTTTGCAAGATAATTTTGGGGAATAAAATTTACTTTATATTTGGACACAAAAGAACCAGATCTGTCTGTCCTTTCTCGTGTTCTTGCTCATAGGAGCCCATGTACACTTCAGAAATCATCTGGATCTGAATGACCCCAATGGCCAATGAGGGCCTTATCCCCAGCCTGGTGCTACTGGGTGGTAGCGGAGTCTAAGAGGTGGCCCTAGGGGAAAATCCTTAGGCCACAGAACACACCCCTCAAAGGGGCTGTGGGAACACAGTGCCTTCCCATCCCTTTCACTTCCAGACAAGGAAGTGAGCAGTTCTGTTCCATTCAGCCATGATGCTCAACCCCCGGCCCCAACAATGAGGTCAACTGATCATGGTCTGAAACCTCTAAAGCTGTAAGACAAATAAGCCTTTTTCTCTAAATAAGCTGACTGTCTCTGCTATTTTTTATAGTAGCAGAAAACTCACTAGCACATACAAGGCACAACCTCTTCGGTTTCTTTCTCTGGCTCTGTCCTACTATTTCTTCTAAATTCATTTCAATACACAGGGGTCACCTCCTAAAGGAAGCCTTCCTTCACCACCCAGAGCTCTCCAGAGGCTGAGCTGGTATTGTGCCTATGTGTTTCCACAGCATCCGGTGTTATCTGAATAACATTTACCCTATGTAGTCACTGCTTGTCAATATCCCGCACTAAACCATGTGCTCCTGATGGCCAAGGTCCATGTGTAATTTATCTTAACTTCCTCGCACCTGTAAATCCTGCATGGAACACAGCGGCGGCTAGTTTTGTGGTCACCTGTTGGATGAGTAAGAGAAACGTTGGTTTCCAGATGCAAATAAAGGTCCCTCAAGGAAACCAGAGGCAGGGGACGTGAGAAGAACAGTTCACCCTGCTCACTTTCAGTCACTCATTCCCCCAGCGCCGCAATATTAACGGAGCAACCATAGAAAAACCTCGACAAGAAGTGATTAAATGGACTTGTGAAAATAAATGGGGAATTAGACCACTGACTGCTGGCCAGAGGGAAAGATGCACAAACCTGTGCTCTGCGTGTGTATCTTAGTCGAGGATCTTTGACTGTGGTGAACAGAAATGTATCGAGGTTAAAAACGGGGTCCGTGGACCAGAAAGCACAAAAGCTCTATAATGAGCAGCCACGTTGGACAGAAGAGCCATGAGGACAAGAACATCTCATGAGCACACTGGGCTACTTTGCTGCCCTTTATGTCAACCGGATACACGGAGGAAAATGACAACGGCTGTAGCACGGCAGACTAAACAGCTGACTGAGACACCGGACTCCTTCCCTACTTTCGTCTGCTGCAGCTCCTGGGACGCTGCTCACCTGCCATGCCCAGGGCGGCAGGGCCGTGTGGATGGACTGGATTGTGCTGCACTGATGGGGTCCTGGTGCAACATGCGGAACAAACTGATGTCTCTGAAACATACAAGAACAGCCCCAAGTAGCAAGAGACAAACCCAGGACTTCCCGCCTTTTAAGAGTTCACATATATACTCAGCTCAAGCAGAAGAGAAACTCTGACTGTGCCTTGCTTAAAACTGTGATTGGTTTCCTAGGTCCACAACAGCGTAACACACACAAAACTGCACTGGTGCTTTTGTGTATTTATGGAATCTCGGGGTTGCCTACCTCTCCCAGCCTCAGTCTGTGTACCAGTCTGTGTAGGTGTCTCCCTCCCCAGCTGCATATGCTACAGTGGTTCTCTGCCACGTCTCCTTCAGAGCACTTCCTGTCTGTGTTGAGGGTGGGAGTGACGTCATCTACTCTAAACTGGTTCGTATGGCTTTTGGAACGAGTGAGTATATACACGCTTAATGACTATTATGTCTGTCAGCTCTATATTCTCACTGCCTAGGGTATGCCTGGATCATATTAGATGGGTAACTAATTTCAAAAATGAATGAAATTAAAATATCTGGAATTTAATTGTTTTTCAAAGGGACTTAGTAAGGGTTTAGTAATTTAAGACTTTGACCTAATTCATTTCACATATGAACATCAGCTGAGCAGATGACCATCTGCACATTTTTAGTATTTGTGTTCCAGCAGTCTATACATTTTGAGGTAATTAAAAGTTTTTTATTTCAGCTGGTGTTATTAACCCAGAGGGGACCAGGGTAGCAGGCTGAATGGGGGAAAGTCCCAGGATATCCTGAAGCTGGATGCTAGTTGGCTCTCATGTTGGTTGACTTTGTTTTTATAAAAGTTAATTTGATCTGACAATATCCACTCTATTAAAACACTGTCTTGGTTAATTTTCTCTCATTGCTGGGACAAAATACCCAACACTCAAAGTAAAGGAATGAGAGGTTTATTTAGCTCACAGTTTGTGGAGATTTCAGTCTATCATCAGTTCAAGGCAGCAGAAGACAGCAAAACCAACAAGAGCAAAAGAGGAGAACAAGCCTTTTATTTTCCCTTATATTGTAAGTAGGCACCCCTACACACACCAGGACAGGTATAGACTCTCACCATCTCTGTGCCCTCCTCTTGTACAGGATGAGGATGTTTACAAAGAGAGGACCCTGGCACCCTGCTAAGTTGCTTAAAGTTTGAAACTTCTCAAGCTGAAACAATGTACCAAATATTACAATCCATCCCTTATCAACTGGGCAACCAGACACATTTCTTTAAACTGGTCTCCAGATACAAAGACATACTTAGTCTTATCATTTTACAAACTGAACATTATAACACAGTTTACCAATCCTTAAGAACCAGTATTATGTCTACCAACATTGTACTACATTAGAACCATAACATTTTGCCCCTGGCCCCCCAAAGACTCATGCACATCCCTTTATGCAAAAGGCATTTAGTCCATGTCTAACAGTTGTCAAAGTCCTAACAGTTTCAGCATTGCTGAAAAGTCCAAGTTCCAAGTCTTCTCCAAGAGGTAAGGCAAACTCTTAGCTGCAACCCCTGTACAAATGAACACTTCCAACATTCAATGGCATAAGATAAACACTTCCATTCTAAGAGTTTCAAACAGGGGGATACAAAGGATTGGGACTAAAGCAAATCGAAAATCCAGCAGGGCAAACATTAAGTCCTGTAGTTCCCTGTGCAGCACCTGAGGCCATCTGTGGCAAACTGTGAGCTCCAAAGGGCTTGAGTGACTCCACCTCTACAGCACTTCTGGTGGCTATAGTTCCCACAGCTGTTCTCTTAGGCATGCTTTGCTGCCTCCTTACAGCTTTCCTGAGATAATCCATATTGCTGGCTTTTCCAAACTTTTGGGGTTTCCACTGCACCTTTAGCTTCACACTCACAGCTTCACACACTGCCCTGTTAGGGGCACACTGTGTGGCCTCCCAGACCTTCTGAAATTGAGGTGGAAGCTTTTTTAACCCCTTAACTCTTGCATTCTGCATGTACCTAAAACCAGCACCATGTGGATGATGCCAAGGTCTGCTGCCAGCTGGAGCAGTAGCCAGGCTTTCTTCTCTCTTAGGTGTAGGGGTGGAGTGCCTGGATCACTGGACACTCTGAATACAATACTGAGGAACCAATTTGTTTAAAATTTATTTTAAAATAAAAAAGGAAAACATATTAACAGACATCCATTTACAAAATAGCATAAGAACAATACAAGCAATACTGAACTACAGACAAAGTGAGAGGAAATTAACAATGGTTGTTGTATTACATATGGATATCTTCAAAATGGTTTCTCAGGAAAACAAATAGAGACATGCAAGATAGATCAAATAAGTAATCATTAACTGTTCCTTTCAGTAAAGCAATAGAAGTCAGTAGCACAACTATGTTAGCTATCCTATATATACATACATACATAATTTCCCCTTCTTTCTTTTCTCTTTTCCCTCAGAGAAACAAATTTTCTATGCCTTTGCCATTCTGGAACATTGTGCTCTGTGGCTTTCTCCTCAAAGCAAAGTCTTTCACTTTTGCAGTTTTGAGGCTGCAAAGGGTGGAGACTTGCTGCTTCTTGTGATGACCTTAGGCATCTTTTCTATTCTCCTGTTCCTTCTAAGCAATCAAGATCTCCTCAGCTCTATCTGAGGAGAGAGCTCTACCTTTGTAGCCCACAGTTTTACTGGAGCTTCCTTTCTGGCCAAACTTACATGTTAAATCATTCTGCCAGGCTCTCTGCTCTTAATTCACAACATAAATCTGGCTAAGCGCCTCCAACAATAGCTATGCCACCACCTCCACATTCAACTGCCTAGAAATTCCTTCTTCTTCTTGTCCTTTTTTTTTTTGGGGGGGGGGTGTTTTTCCGGTACCGGGAATTGAATTCATGACGTTGCACTTGCCAGGCAGGTGCTGTCCCGCTGAGCTAAATCCCCAGCCCCTTCTTCTTCTTCTTAATTAGTCCACTGCCCTTAATCGTAGTCTCAGACAAAGTCTCTGGACACAAACAAAATGCAGACAAACTTTCTGCCAAGCAATAACACACATCATCTAGAGTCCAACAACCAGTGTAGTCTTTCTTAAGAGAAGCCTTCTGAGCCTGATCTTTACTGGTTTTCAGGTCTTCTGACCCCTGACCAGACTCTCCCATACAGAACAGCCTAAGGTATTCCAGCTCTGCTCTTTCAAGCAACATCTCTGAACCTTTCCAAACTCTTCCCACAAACTATTCCCAAAGGCTTTTGAACCACATGGTCAGGCACTGTCACAGCAACAACCCCACTCCTGTACCAAATTCTGTCTCGGTTACTTTTCTCTTGTTGCTGGGACAAAATAAAGTTAAGGAAGGAAAGGTTTATTTAGCTCACGGTTTGTGGAGGTTTCAGTCCATTGTCAGCTGGCTCCAAAGTGGGGTGGCATGGCACAGGCACAACAGTTCAAGGCAGAAGACAGCAAAACGAACAAGAGCAAAAAGGGAGAACAAGCCTCTTATCCTCCCTTACATTGTAAGTAGGCCACTGTTATGGTTTGTGTCTGTGAGTTCCCCCAAAGCCTCATGCAGTCATGGGGCAGGCTTTTAGGAGTTTGATTGATTATGGGTGTGAGAACTACACCCGCCCTGGGGTGGATAGTTTGCATATGTAAGGGAGAGGAAGAGGCTGCTTGGGCCCATTCCTCCCTTTAGTGTTTGTTGCTTTTGCTGTGTTCTGCCGCCATGAGCTGTAGCCCTCTGCCATGTGCCAGTCTGCCTTGTAACCTGCCAAGTGTGGACTGAAACCTCCACACACTGTAAGAGAAATAAACCTTTCCTTCCTTAATTTTGGGCATCAGGTATTTTGTCCCAGCAACGAGAGAAAAGTAACCAAGACAGCCACCCAGGGCAGGTGTAGCACTTACACCATCTCCATGCCCTCCTCTTGCACAGGATGAGGATTTTCACAAAGTGAGGACCCTGAACCCATACTGAATAGCTTAGTTAAACTTCTAAACTTCTCAAATTGACCTTTTCTTTCTTTCTTTTTCCTCTCTCCCTCCTTCCTTTTTCCTTACCTCCCTCCCTCCCTCCCTCTCTCCTTCTCTCTCTCTTTCTTTCTTTCTTCCTTTCTTTCTTGTGTAAAGATGACCTGAATTTGCTCTATGTTCTATCCTGTTTAAATGTACTCAGATGACATTTAGGCCATTGCTCATTCCAGCCAAAGTTGGGGAAAAGAGAAGTTTGGATGGCTCTCTTTTCCATTCTTGGATAAAAACTCAGCAGATGTTGACATTTTACAATAAAGGTCAACTTGCACATCTGTAAATAGTGCATGCTGACACCCATCTTACATGGCCATATGGGATTATCTGTTCACCACAATGCCTGGTACATCATGAGTTCCTGGTACATGTTCATGGAATCTGAAGCAATTTAACAAAATAGGGAGCTGGCCAAAAGATGATTCCATCTCTTTACTTTTAAGTCATGGAAGGCAACTTTTCTTAAGAAGAATTTCTTTCTCAGAGGATTACAACATAAAATGTTTGAAGTTTTGGAAAACTGTGAGGAACATGAAGTCTCTCTGAAGAGCAGAAGACCTAGATGTCTTTCTTATTACCCTCTTCCCTGCTCCAGCCTCCCAGAGTTGTGTTGAAAAACCGTAAGCCTGTACCACGTTGTCTCTCCTCTGTGTCCAGGAAGGACAGATGCCATAAGGAGCTGGCTGCGTGTCTGAAGGCATCCTGTCCTTCACATGCTGGAGTATCAAATTAGAAAATTGTGCTTCATGGTGGACAAGTAGAAACCCAGCCTGTATGACCACAACAAAGTCACCCAGAAAGTAGTAATGAATTTAGAGGAGGACACTGATGGGGTTCAGGAATGCAGCCCTGAAGGATGGCACCATGGCATTACAGAAAGCAGCGAAAGCAGGAAGGTCATGCTCACCTTCCCCTTGACCTTCTCCCCTGATGCAAGCCCTCCTTTGAGAGGCACCCTCCTTTTTCCAGAGGAGAGGAACAGCCCCAGCTCTGAGGCACGCACTCACAGAACCATGTGAGGA